CCTAAAACCATTGTTAATGGAGTAGCAATCATGTAAGAAGACCATTGAGATACAACTGGAACTAAAAATCTGAGACATGAAATGATTGTCTAGCTATTTAAGAATTTTTACTTTTGACTTCAAAAGATAAGAGAGCCCAGAGGAAAGAATTTTGCTTACATTGTTATCTTATGTTTCTCAGGTAAATCACTGTTATCACTCTACCTTGGAGAAGTTGAATGGTAAAACCTTTTTAATTGAAACTGTGGCTTGGTTGGACAAAATTTCTTTAATTCTTCATCAGTTCAACACGAGTGCATACCTCAAGCTATTTTGGGAATGGATGTCATTTGCCAAGCAAAATCCGGAATGGGGAAAACTGCTGTGTTTGTTCTCTCAACATTGCAGCAGATTGAACCAGTTGCAGGTCAAGTTGCTGCTCTTGTTCTATGTCATACGAGGGAGTTAGCTTACCAGGCATGTACTCCAACTTACCGACTATAAGAACATCTCTTCTAGCTTTTGGTTCTAGAAATCCCTCCATTGTACTGTTATGAATTACATGCATGAAAGCTCAAGCAGTGGACCACTTGTATATGAAATTTCTTTTTATGTGTGCACTGGATATTAGTCAGTAGTTTTCTTACTCTTCTAGTACTGTTTCCCTTCTGCAGATCTGTAATGAATTTGAGCGGTTCAGCACATACTTACCAGACATTAAAATTTCTGTTTTTTATGGTGGTGTCAACATCAAAATCCACAAAGATCTTCTGAAGAATGAATGTCCTCACATTGTTGTTGGTACTCCTGGAAGGATACTTGCTCTAGCTAGAGACAAAGACCTTTCATTGAGAAATGTGAGGCATTTCATATTGGATGAATGTGACAAGATGCTCGAGTCTCTGGGTATGCCACATGAATAATATCCTGTCAAGCTTTGCCGTTAAACCAATCCAATTCCTGAATCTTTAAACAAGCTAATGATATGCTTTGATTATATTCTTCTGATACTGTATGTCCTTCCAGACATGAGGAGAGATGTTCAGGAGATTTTCAAGATGACTCCACATGACAAGCAAGTTATGATGTTTTCTGCTACACTGAGCAAGGAGATCCGACCAGTTTGCAAGAAATTTATGCAAGACGTAATGTCCTGTGGCCAGTCTACTTGAATTTTTAGAAGTCTATTTTTATTCCTTTACTCGCAACTTTCTGCAGGCAATACTTGGTCAAGAATGCAGTGGTTAAAAATATTGCATCTAGCTAAGCCATGTGTTTAATTATCCTACTGACACAAAGTGATGCTTGATGTAAATATGCTTGGTAGAGAGGGTATTGGTTTTTTTATGCATAATGGTAATCAAGGTTCTCTGTATCTAGTAAAAGTTTTTTATTCTTCCTTCAGGCCTTTGTTTCACTTTCAATTTATAGTTTTCTATCAGATAAGAGTTGAGGATTTTAGTGGGAGATGGCGGTGTATATCCGGCGTGTTTGATCAGTTTCATTATGTTGAGCATCAGTGGTGGCACTAGTTAGTCTGTGTAGGAAATTTTCTGCGAG